CCCACCTTCATTTGTTCCATCTTCCCAAACCCCTCGTTTCATTTCGTTTGTCTCTTGAGCTGCTCTTGTTTTCTGCTCTTGCTTCCCCTCGTTCATTGCAATTTCAAGGTCAATTCCAACCCCCAATTGCAGCTACAACCCACCCCTTCTCCTCTGCCAACCTTTTCTTGATAGGCGCACTCCAAGGCTGCGCCTTGGGCCATTCACTTGATCCTTTATAACATCAGGGCCCCCCACAGGCGGGTTGCTGTCACGGAACATACCCCTCCCTCTCTGTGTAAATGTACATGCATTGCTAGCTATAACACACTCCCCTCCGTCAGTAAAGCAAGATCTCGGAGCTGAAACCAGAACTCTGACTGACACCATTCACCAGATTCTTCTCAGGACGACGACCCTCACGATCTCGGGATGAATCCAAATAGATCCGACCCTCATCGAACGCAGTCCCCCGGGGAACCACTGCACGGTTATCAGCTGGAAGGCAACCCAAACCGAACCCATTCGTCAGGGAGACCCTTTCGTGGCTATCAACTGGAGGACAACCGATACCAGCAATATGGACACCTGGAAATGCCCTCGAGTGACCGTCTAGCCGACCAGCCAACCGTGAGACATAATTCCATCCATGATTACACATCCAATCCCTGTAAAGTCCCATTCTAAACCATTTATAACCCTTTAGTACTCCGTTGAAAATATACAAAACTCCTATGGTCACAACGAAGCCTATGAGACCGCTAACCCATATCGAGCCTCCCCCCTGGCGCGCACCGAATATACCATCTCCCCCGAAGCACATCACGACGCTTACTATACCCAACCCTACCAACCCACAGCCCCTTCCCCTTCCGAATACGACGTCCAGCCATTTCCCTCGCAGACTCCGCAGCCATACCACGATGACGAAGTCCCCATTCTCCAAAATCCATACCGCCCGAACCCGCAATTGAACCCGCAATTGGCATACCAGGAGTCCGCCCTCGCTCCAACACCAAGCCCGGCCCCGATAAGAAGATGGAAGACCGTAAAGGAAGTCCAGCTCTTCAACGGCAATTTGGTGCTGGATTGTCCCATCCCACCCAGACTGCTTAGCCAGGTCAACCATGCCAAACCACCAGAGCGCGATGAATTTACGCACATGCGCTACTCAGCAGCGACGTGTGACCCGGCTGATTTCTACAATGAACGCTTCACGCTTCGCCAGAGGCTGTTTGCGAAACCCAGGCATACGGAACTGTTTATTGTGGTGACGATGTACAATGAGGATGACTTCCTTTTTGCCCGGACTATGATTGGTGTCTTTGAGAATATTGAGTACATGTGCTCGCGCACGAATAGCAAAACATGGGGTAAGGAGGCTTGGAAGAAAATCGTCGTCTGCGTTGTTAGCGACGGACGTGCGAAAATTAACCCGCGCACCCGCGCCGTGCTCGCCGGCC